GAGTGTGTGAGTGTGTGTGAGTGTGTGTGTGTGAGTGTGTGTGTGTGTGTGTACACCAATATCCATTCCTCGAAAGATTATGGAATGAAGGAAATCAGACACAGCACCCTGTGGTAAGACACTGACTAAACACTGCAGTAAAATCCTTTGCAGCTGTTCTCAAAGGAGGAAAAACTAAAGTCTAACAAGATTCAATTAGACTGTTGCTAGCTTCCTTTACGGAAATTTCATTGAAAAGATACATGATTCCACTAAAAGCCAGGGTCATCTTAGATACCTGCTTGCCCCCACCCACCTATGGCAAAAGAGAGCACACAACCTCATAAGAGCCATTTGAAATAGAAAAGTCCTTAAATGTAGATGTAGCATGCCTAAGTCAACCCAGAGATATGCTCCTTTTGTATCAGCACCATTAATTAGGGGCCTAGGCAGGGATCCTGGGGTCTCCTGGAGGATTTGGAGCTTGATTCATTTTATATCTGGGAGCAGGGCTGTGCCATCACTGGGCCTTTCTGCACATCTAGTGATCTGGTGTCCTGGGATTTTTTATGTGTATGTTCATACAGCTTGCTGTGCACGTGGGCATGGATACTTCCACCAAGGCCATCTTTCTGGAACAGTGTGGCAAAAACCGAGGCTATCGGGATTCAGATGTAAGAGGCTTTCAGCCAGAGGATGGTGTGTGCCTCCCAGGTGGTCCGGAAGTGATGCTGTCTGTTGTCAACATGAAGGAGGTCTGCAGGCGTGTTGCTGTTGAGGATGTCGAGGTGGCCTTTTCTAGAGATGCGGGCAGGTACTTCAGGTGTCCTTGTGCCAAACAGGTGGGAGAGATGGATTGTCCCTCAGAGTCCCTTCTCTCTCCTCAAGAAGCTATCCTATGCTGTCCATGTGGCTGCTTTGGTCACAGGCATCTCCAAAACTCCCCTTATTTGTCACAGGCACTGCGGATTAATTTAAGCTCGTCTCCAAATGCTGACGGCCCCTTCCCCTAAGCACCTTCTTCTCTCTTCTAGGGATAAAGAAATACCCGAGGGAAGATGGCAATAAGGGAGTCACTGTGGTCAAGGTGTTTTACCACTAGTTGTTTAATAGGCTGGCTCAATTCTGTCCTGACCACTTGCTGGTCATTAGACTATGAACCCAAGAACCAGTGTCTGTCTGGTGTGTTCTTAGGCCCATGTCCTTTATCAGAAGAGTCAAACACAAGTGGTAGTGGGCACGTGGGCATAGGCACCCACAAACTCATGCTTTATGAAAACTGTACTGTGTCTGGCAGTGACAAGATCTGGGAGTAATGGGGAGTTTCATGTGGTTGCAGGTACGTCTGCGATTACACCTATTACCTGTCTCTGCACCTTGGGACTGGGCATGCGGCGCTCATCCACGTCCCTCCTCTGTCGCACTGGCTCTCAGCCAGCCTTCTGGGCAAAGCCTTGCAAGTCATCATCCAAGAAATGCTGGTAGAAAGTGGGGAAGTCCAGACTCAAAGGGAAGCAGCAGGGGGATGCCCTCTTTAGACGAAATGAAATGTTTCAGGTTTGGGTGGAAAGGCCAGCTGTGCTATAAGAGACTCTAAAAAAGTGGCTTGTGAAACAGTTACAAGGCGCAGGGTGGACACACAGAATCACAGACTGATTTTAGTGTCTGAAGCAAGAAGAAAATCCCCAAAGGCGGATGCCACATAAGGGATTAACTAGGGGAAAGCTATGACCTTCATGACAATCATATGCAAGCCAGTAGTTTCCCTTCCAAGGCTTCCTAGATTGGCAGGATGACAGAGCTGTTTCAGAAGGTCAGAAATGCAGGTGTAGCTCTGGCTCCAGGGTCCCAAATTCTGATCTTCTGATCCCCAAGCTTGTCATTTAGGTCTTGTGAATGGCTTCTGGGCCACCCAGTCTGTAGTCTCAGAGCCTCTCTCTCTCTCTCTCTCTCTCTCTCTCTCTCTCTCTCTCTCTCATTTTAACAATTTTAAAGTAAGCAGTTCAGTGGCGTTTATTATTCCATCTCTGCTAGCACTTTCTCTGCAACCATTTGTTGTGGTGGCATGTGAAATGCCCCACCCCCTACCTGTGTTTGAACCACTTGGTCTCTGGTTTGCTCCTGATTTGGAAGGTTGTGGAATCTTTAGATGGTGGAGCCTTGCCTGAGAAAGTGAGTTCCTCTTGTTATAGCGCTCCCCCATCTTCCTTTTCACTCTCATTCTTAATAGCAGACACCATATGACCAGCTAGCCTTCTCCTGATGCCCCTCTGCCTTCCCTGCATGTGGTACATCTTCTGCCACCTTGAACTGTACACCAGGACAAACCCTTTCCTCCTTAAGTTGATTTTGTCAGGGGACTCTGTCACAACACTAGGAATGACTTGGGGGCATTGTTCAATGGCAGTGTGTGGCCTGAGATCTGGTCTGTGTGTGTCCCAGGATAGCCAGGGAGAGGGGAGATGGAGAGAAGAGCAGGAAGAGAGAGTAAGAAAGATTAGAAGGGGGAGAGGAGAGGGGAGAAGGGAGAGAGACTATGAATGTACAAAGCCCTGGGTTCAATAGCTAGCCCTACAAGGAGCCACCAAACCCCAGTATCAAAACCAAATGAACTGAATAGCTCTCAACTGGTTTTTGTTTTTCAGATTTATTTATTTATTATGTATCCAGTGTTCTCCCTGGATGCATGCCTGCACGCCAGAAGAGGGCACCAGATCCCATTGTAGATGTTTATGAGATACCATGTGGTAGCTGGGAATCGAATCCAAGACCTCTTAAGCCCTCAGAGTGCTCAGCCATCTCTGCATCTTCTGTTTTGTTTTGTCGTCTTGAGAAAGTTTCTCTGTGTAGCCCTGGCTGCCCTGGAACTCACAGAAATCAGCCAGCTTCTGCAAGAAAATGACTTTACAAGACTCCCTCTGCAAATAAACCAGGAGCATTTTACATATGACAGAGCCAAGTCACACTAAGGCAGATCAAACCCTAAGGTGGATTGGGATGGTACAGAGCACCTGCACAGGACCTAGCTGCTTGGCTGGTCCCATGGCGACCCCTCTCTGTGAGCAAAGAGCTCCTGCCTGAAACCTTAAGTCCCTTTGTCCCAGGAGTGGGCTGCAGTGATACTTCAGGTCACTTGGCACCTGGCCAGACACATTCAAAAACAGTTTGTTTGAAAGCTACCTTAGGGCTGGGCGGTGGTGGCTGGCGCATGCCTTTAATCCCAGCACTTGGGAGGCAGAGGCAGGCGGATTTCTGAGTTCGAGGCCAGCCTGGTCTACAGAGTGAATTCCAGGACAGCCAGGACTACACAGAGAAACCCTGTCTCGAAAAACAAACAAGCAAACAAACAAACAAACAAAAAATCAAAAAAAGAAAGCTACCTTAGGTGGGAGGCCCAGAGCGCCCACTGATGAGCAGCACTTCCGTCCCCTTCTGTATCTCTCAAGTTTCTCAAGACCCCAGGCACTCATTTGCATTGTGGTTTTTGTAAATGGCCTGGCATCCCCTTAGCAATACACACTGCATCCTGTTCAGTTATGGCTTATAGTGGGTGGCTTTGTATGCTTGATAGCCATAGTATAAAACACTGGTTTACGTTGGTTGTTTAATGGCTGGGAGGTTTAAGCATGATTGTGTGTTTATCTATAAACCAGACTAATAAAAACTCCTGCCTTTGTAGGTTGGTTTTGAATACCCCGAGAATGTGTTACCAACAACACACTAGCAAAAAAAAAAAAAAAAAAAAAAAAGAGTGTGGGGCCCGCTCGGTTGGGGTGATTATAATTTTTTTTTTTTTTTTTTGGGGGGGGGGGGTTGGGCATATTGTAAATCTAGCTAGTAAGCAAGTGTTAAAAAAGAAAAAAGAGAAATTATAGAACCCTCTTAAGAGGTAACTCAGCCAGGCAGTGGTGGCACATGCCTTTAATGACAAGGTTCACCAAGGAGGCAGGTAGATCTCTGAGTTCTAGGACAGCCTGGTCTACACAATGAGTTCCAGGACAGCCAAAGCTACACAGAAAAAAAAAAAAGTTGTTTCAGAAGGAAAAAAAAAAAGGTGACTCAGACTCCGAGGGGAGGGGAAGAGACTCTTAACTTTTAAAGGTTTAGTACCTTCATCCTTAGAAGCAGCTGCTTCCGGCCAGGCAGGTTTTTTGTAAGGCATGTCATGGCAAGCTGGAGGCATGGCACCAGTCCGGGATGGCTCAGAAATGAGATCTTCAGAGTTATTTAGTGAAGCTCCCAGGGCACTTGGTGAGCAAAAGCTCTGAAATAGTAGCAGACTGGAAGGTGTGCTCTTTCAAAATGACCTTTTATAAATCCAAATACCCGTTGGGTTTGGTTACTCGGAAGACTCACTGGGTCTTGAGTTGCCTCGGATTTGCTTCTGCTACTTATGACTTACTGTTCAGTTCTTCATAGGGTGTCCTGATTTTGTCAGACTTTCCCCATTGTCAGTGTTTAGTGAGAAGGCTCCACACTCTCCCAAGAGTCTGGAATGTATGGCTCGGTTCATTTTCCAATCCAAACCGCCCACCAACTTCCCAGGACAAAGACGGAGAGGTCAACATTTCAGAGTACCTGAGGGCAACCTAACTGCTCATCAACTTGTACCCAGGCACAGCCTGAGGCACCCCAACTGTGAACCATTACCTCGGACATGAAAATGCACATACTTATGTTTTTGGCAACCCTGCCCTGCCCCCAGACTCACACATATCCAACCCACCTAGGCCTTTTGTCAACCAGGAGTCCAGGAGACAAGCCTGTAAAAGCAGCACCGAAACCTGTTCTTCACGGACTCTAATTTTCCTCTAGCTGATTTAATGGGGAGACAGTCACTTCTCCAAGCTCAACAGCAATCTGCATTTGGAGAAACTCAGCTGTCAGGGATGTGGAGATGCTTTTCTGCGATGAGCATTTCCGAGTGACACATGTAAAACACACACACACACACACACACGCACGCACGCACGCACGCACGCACGCACGCACGCACGCACACGCAGGCTCAGCTCTCTGAGAAAGTGGGGGATGGTTCCAGAACAGAGAGGAAACCAACCAGAGACAAAGGTGCATACAGAATCCTTTTATTTAACTTAATCCATGTGGTACTTTACTACTAGAAAAAAGCAGAGTAATAGACTCAAGTGGCCTTAGCTCCAGCCATTCAAAATAGACAAAGTTTCTTTTTTCATAATGTAAAGAATCCCGAGTATGTCGCAGTAACAGGAATAAATTCTTACAACAGAATATACAAAAACATTGAATTTTTTTTCATCTACTGATTTTCTTTTATATATAAACAGAGAGGTTTTTTTTTTAGGAATAATTTATACACAGAAAGTTATTTTATGTAACAAATTGGCCATATTATTATCTTTTTTAGACTTTTTTTCTTTTTTAAGAAAAAATTTAACAAGAAAACTTAGAAATGCATTATTGGCGATGCATCCATTCCATTGCATCTTCTGATTTGATTTTTTTTTTTTAAATCCCAGAGGTAGACAAGCTCTGACAAAGCTCTCACCTCAACCTCACTGGCTTAGGAAGCAGACAGGGGTTGTCACCAGGCAGGCACCTGTTCCACCTGCGTATGTGTCTGCACACTGCCCAATACCCACGAGAAACTGAAAAAACAAACCCACAAACGGTTCCTAGACCTTTTTCCTGCAGTGTTAGAAAATTCCAGATGTTTTCAACAATGGTATCTAGTGGAACCGTAGAGACACGGCCAATAATGCATGGGGAACCAAAGGACATGGATTTTAATTCTAAAAAAGGGGGTGGTGGTGAGGGGGACACACGTTGTGGTTGTGGTTTTTGTTACCAGTTTGTTCTGTATTGGAAAAAATGGACCTTCAGCATTCAGCATTAAATACAGGTAGGCACAGCTTTCTTTAGGATCTGAGGCACATGTGCCAATGGCCTGTATAAACAGAATCATGTGATCACCATGAAGCCATTCCAGTGTCCTGAAACCCTCCCATCTCCATGGCATTGTGGAACTAGGACAAACACCAGCCAGATATCACCAGTGAGTGTCATCTCTTTGCTGGGTGGCAACACACTGCTACTTCCATGGCCAGCAAGATTCTGGGTTCTTTCTATCTGTTTAGGCTCCACAGGGAACAGTCAGTAACAGAGAATTCCTTTCTCCAGCAAAGGGTTCCAAGATGAAGGTACTGAAGAATACAGAAGTACTCTCTAAACCACTGGCATTCCTTTTGTTTTTTTTTGTTTTGTTTATTTTTTTATTTTTATTTTTTTTACAAACTAGAGCAGAAAGCATGTGGGAAAGAGGGTGAACCACAATTTGGGTCCCAGGAAGGATTTTTTTTAATTAATTAATTACCTTTTTTAAAATTTTTATCTTTTATTTTTGGCATATTGTAAAGCTAGCTAGTAAACAAGTGTCAAAAAATAAAGAAAAAGAAAACAAAGGGGGAAAAAAAAGACCACAAACACATATTTTTGCACACAGAGAGAGGAAAAAAAGTGTTTTTAAATTATTTTCGGCAATTATAAACTACAAACATTT